GCAGCATCCTCATGCCCCGGCCAGCCTCTCCGCAGCATGTGGACCTGAGCAGGAACAGCCCCGGGCTGGCAGGCTGACCCCCTGGCCTTGTCTTCCAGCCAGGGTTGCTCTACCTCAGCTCAACGTGCTGCGGTCCTGGATGCATGTGTAAACGTGCAATAAACTCCAGAGCAGATTGCACCGGAGTTCACTGTGTCACATTAATATTCATATATAGGTGCACCCATGGTGTAGTAGGTAGATCACTCAGACTCCATACTAGCGATTTGATTAAAGAAAATTAAAGTTCCTGTTATAGACATAACATTGGATGTGCTGTAACAGGTCCATCTAGCCTGCTGTCTTGTCCCTGACAGTGGCAGGGGTGGATACTATGGAGGGAGAGCGCTAAACTGAATGATCTGTCCCATGTTCAGCACTCTCCCTGGCTTCCACAAGAAGAGATACCGGAGGAAACATCTCCAACCGTTCTGTTCAATAGCTGTTAATAGATCCATCATCTGTGAATTTATTTAGTCCCTTTTCATAGATAAGTCCCTTTATCTAGACCCTTTTCATGCGATCTTTGGGTGTGTGTACACACAACACTTACTGTGGAGCTGCCTAACTAGTGTCTATCTATGAAAAGGGACTGGACAAATTCACAGATGACTTTGAACCTGGCTATGTTGTGTAGAAGTTGAGATTATAGCTGTATGGCAGCAGTTCCCAAACTGTAAGTCGCACCCCCAAATGTGGTCGCAACATCAGGGGATGGGGCTGTGCATTTGGAGTGAGGGGAAATGGGGTCATGTTGAGGAAATAAGGCCATAAATGGGGTCATGCTGAGGAAACGTTTGGGAAGCACTGTTGTATAAGGATAGTTTGGATGGGGATGATCCTGCCTCAGGCAGGGGGCTAGACTAGATGACTTCTGGCGGTCCCTTCCTGCCCTACTTCTCTATGACCATCTTCCTCCACCACCTCCTGGGGCAATGCATTTTATAAGTTAACTACGCATTGCATAAAAAAGTAGTTTCTTTTGTTAGTTTGAAACCTGCCTCCTGCTAATTTTAGTGAATGCTCCCTCATCCTATGACCAAATGAGTGTAGGCAACGCAAACACCACTGTCAGTATCCCCATGTTTTCTAGGCCTACTCTGGCTTAGAAAACTTCGTTTGAGCAATAACTTCAAGCTAATCACAACTGGGTTTCGATTGGGCTCAAAGGAGATGAGATGAAACAACAGAGGTTGCAACTGGTCAGGCCTGAAGTGCTTATGGTGAGGCTGCATGAACTCCCTGGGACGGGAACGGCTGGGGAGGAAGAACCGGAGGATGGAGGTACGTTGGCCAAAGCACAATGCAAAGCTTGCGTATGCTCACCTCGGCAGCAGTACCAGTGAAAACACTACAACAGGCAATATGCCCCCACACAATTTGAAATGACGCGAGTGGATTTAAAGGCTCTGTTGGTGTTATGTTACCTTCATCCTCGCAAAGAAAGAATCGTCACTGGTTTCAACCACGTAGAACATGAAAGTGTTTTTGCAAGCCTCTTTCATGACACCTTTGAGCCGGAAATGCAGCGTGCTGCACAAGTCCGCGATCATGGTGTCGTAGACGGCCGTTCTTCTGGGGAAATAGCTGTATTTTGCCCTTTTGCAAGTGGTCTCTTCTGAGGTAGTGCTTTGGCCTCGCCCTTTGTTACCCGCATATATATTGTTCAGCATCACCCTGTTAAACTCTGCATATTCATCTAGAATGCCTGAAATATCCCCTCTTGATTCGTTTAGCTTATTGTCATATTTTAATTTGCTGAGGTGGAAGGGAACGGCATAGTCGTGGCTCTGGCTTTTGATTTTTGCAGCATTTCTTTCGCTGATAAAATTCTCCTGCCGTGGGACACACAGCGGGGGGTCATCAAAGTCTGTGGGGCTACTGTTTCTTAGGTGCCAACCAGAGCTACGAGGTTTTGTGTCTGAATGCACAATTGTCACCAGAAGTGGGCTGTGACTCCTGGATGGCGCATTGAGAACAGGGGATTCGTGTGCCTCTCTCGAGGGCAAAGTCTCCGGTGTCACCTGGACAGGAAACTCGTTTGGAAAGATACCACAAGAGGTAGAGTAGTGTGATTTCTGTCTCTTTATGATTTGTTTTAGCTTATAATGGAAACGTAGACATTCCATGTCTAAAGTGTTCTGTGTGAGGTCGTCAAAAGCCTTCCAGGTCCTCGTCAAAGAGCTTATTAAGTCAGATCGTTCCCTCAAGCCATCGTGTCTTTTTGAAGGTTGTAACGTTCTAGTTTTGTCCTTGTGCTTTTTGGTAACAGTGAAGTTTGTGTAGTCCTTTAGAGTGCCCTGATCATTTCCCATATTGACAAAAGGGGGTACGTGCCTATCACTTTCCCCTAACCTAGCAGGCCAGCTATGCTGCCACACTTCAGACTCAACCCCCAAAACCCTTTTGTCTATCTCCGAAGAGTCCCAGTCCTTGGCCTTACTGTCTTTGTTCGTAGGCGACTCATAACGAGTCCTTGCCATGGATGTCATTTTGATGGCATCCATGGTCTTTGTACTACAAGAGCCACTAAACTTAAGTTTGGTGTACACGGTTCCTCCAAAGTACTCATGGTCAGAGCCTCCAGAAAAAGCCTCACGTGATACATCTTCAAAGGCCGCGCTCGCACTGATGTCTTTGATAATGATTTCTGTACTCCGGCTGGGCAAATTTTCCTCTGCATCACTCAGTTCTGAATTCTCTCCAGAGTCTCTCTGGGTAAGTAAAGCAGGCATCTGAACAAAGGAAACGGAAGGTTTTTCCCTTGCCGTGTCCGAATCAGCACATGCTTCTGATTCTCCTGTCACGGGGTCCCTCTGCGTGTCTGGCGTTTCCCCAGCAGAGCTCTGTTCACATGTCTGTCCCGTTGGTTCCTCCTCTCCTGAAATAGAGGCTGTGCTTGCTGTGGGGCTACCGCTTCCCAGATCAAATTCCTCACACGGCGAGGGCCCTTTGCTGCCGCGCTCTAGCAAGCTTGTTATTTTAGCTGCAGGGAGCTCAAGCTCTAGGAATGTGTCTTTTTTCGTCTCTTTTGCGTAACAAGAAACCGAGGAATGATCCGCTGCCAAAGGCGATGCTTGGCTCTCAGGGATGGAGCATGTCTCTGCAACATTCGTTTGACCGGCGGGGTTGGGATTTATATTCTGGTGAAGTAGCCGATCAGGTTCACTTTGCTCTAATACGGAGCTGTATAGATCCGCCTCTCTGCTAGGTGAAAGGCCGGGCTGCTGAGAAAGGACACAAGTCATCACTTTGGCTGGATTGGGTTGGCCTATTGCAGAGTCTTGCTCCTCTCTCTTGAGCAAGTCCACTGTTTTAACTACAGGAATTTCTTGTTCTAGCAACATTGGGGGTTTGGCCTGTTCCATGTCATTCGAACCTGAGGGGTCATCCACAGCAGAAGAGGCTGTTTGACCCTCAGGGATGGAGTGACATATCTCTGGGATGTCTCCTTGATCCATGCGATCAGAATTCAGGCCTTTGTGGAGTACTGGATCCTGCTCGCTTTGGTCTAAGAAACCGTAGTGCAGAGCCGCTGCTTTGCTGGTGGGAGTAGAGGACGGCTGCGATGGACTGAGACTCGTGTGTTCAGGCTCAGGAGGAGAAGGCCTGTCCGATGAGAAGCTCTCCACCCCGCACCAACCAGGGCTGCGTGCAGGCCAATGGTTTATGAAGTTCATTTGTTTTACACCCGCATGCTTTTTAGTAACAGATTTGTCGCTTTTCATTAAAAAGGTCGGAGTTGATTCCTGCAGTTCGCAAAGGGAAGTCTTGGGCTCTCCAAGCTCAGTCCTTGGAGTCATCTCATCCAACTCATCATGGCATAGTGATGTTTCAGGAAGAGGACACACACTGCTGTTCTCAGGTTTGTTCCAGGTCTCCTCAGCTGTCGAGTCAACTTCCAAGGCTGTATTTTCCCAGGCTAAGTCCTGGCTTTGTCCTGCTCCTGCAGATTTGTTTAGTGACTCTGCCATTTCGTTAGGAGAGCTCCTTTGCTCTCCCTGAGTTAGCATACTGCTTTGCACTTGGCTGGATTCCTCAATGCTCAATGAAGTGTGCTCAGACGAATCATTGCCTCCATCTTCCTGGGAGATGCTGGTGTCCTCCACTGAATCACTTGGGGCTGATGTTTCAATTTCTTTAGCTGGTAGGCCAGCGACCTCCTGGATCTGTGAATGCATCTCTGGAAATGGTGTCATTTCAGCAGCAAGTTCTTGATGGACAGGACTCTCATCAGAGGATAATGTCAGAGTTAATCCATTCTCACATGGGGACTCCCAGTCAACTGTGCTAGCTGCATCACTCTCTTCCGGTATCCACATTTCCTTAGGAAGAACTAAGTTAATCGACCCTGGGTCTTTACCTTGATTCTCCAAATTGTCATTCCTTTTTTTAGCTGGTAATACAGGGACCTCTTGGTTCCCCGAAAGCGCCTCAGGAGACTGTGTTATAGTGTCAGAAGGTACTTGGTGGAGAGGGCTGGCATCAGATGACAACGTTAACGTTAATCCACTATCACATGGGGACTCCAACTCAACAGTACTGAGAGCATTACTTTCTTCTGAAGCTTCTTTAGGAAGTATTAAATTGATTGCATCCATGTCCTGATCATCATACTCCAAACGGGTGCTGTTCATTTCTTCAACCGGTAAGGCAATGGCTTCTTGGTTGCCTGGATGGGCCTCTGGAGACTGCGCTGTTTCACTGAAGGGGCCCAAATGGATAGGACTCGTGTCAGATGACAATGTCAGATTTAAGCCACTGTCACAGGGGGACTCCAAGTCAGCTGTCCTTGGTGTGTCGCTCTCTTCAGGGATGTAGATTTCCTTAGGAAGGACTAAGTTAACGGGATCCTGGTCAATATCTTCATGCTCCATATCGGCATCATTACTCTCTGAAAGGGCTAACACAATTGGCTCCAGGTACATATTTTGGTACTCAAAATCTTCCTCTTCCTCTTCTTCCTCCTGGTTTTCTAATGGATCTTGCAAGTTGCTCACTTCTCTGTCAGGGCTGTCATGTTCTGGGCACTCAGGGCTCACTTGTAACCGTAATTCTTCGCAGACAGGGAGCGATTCATCAGCAGCCACATGCCCTTGGTCTTTATCTTCAGTGGTGAGAGTGAGGCCCTCCACTGCTGTACTTCCCTCAGGAAGGACAGACTCCTCGCCCTTAGCCAGAGGCTGCATATTGTCCAGCTTCTCTGGAAATTCATTCTTTGCCAAAGAAGTGTCATGTTGTGAAACTTTACTTGAATTAAGGGCTGGATTTGCTTCCTCTGAGCTGTCAGCGCCAAGGGATTTTGGTCTTGGGCTGGCATTGCTGTGTTCCTCAGAGGTGCTGTTGTTACAGCTACCGGTGGAGACCAGGGGGTCAGGCAATTCCTTTCTTTCACTTTCCTCTTCATCCACCTGAAATAAAAGAAGTTGAGGTTTAACCTTTGCAAAAGAAATGCAGGAACAGAAAGATCTCTCCATGGCAGAATAGCTACGCTGTTTAACATGCTTCATGCTTTCATGAGCAAATTGGGAAAAGAATAGTAAAATTAAATAAAATCTGTATCTACAATATTTTAGGGATAACTTCTGTCCTCACATAGGCCAATCCCCTATCTTTCAAATTCCTGCTTGGGCACGTCTACCTGAGATACTTTACTCAAGATTAGAGCAGTAAGTGTCACCGTCTACACGTGCAGATGCTTACTGTGCAGTAATTTGCTCTAATCTTGAGTAAATTTGCTACCTGTAAATACAAGTAGCAATTTTACTCAGGAGTAATTACTGCATGACATGGCATATGTAGACAGCTAATCAGGAGCAAATTTGCTCCCAGTCAGCCAGGAAGCAGGGGGCGGGAGATTGCTCCCTGCCCCTGGGGAGGGCTCTACCACCAGTGCCCAGGGAGGAACAATGTCCCCCTCCTCTGCCAGCAAGAAGCTCCCAGCTCCTGATCCATGATCAGAGCAGGGGCTGGCAAGGCGTGGGGACAGGGAGCAATCTCCCAGCCCCTGCCACGAGACAGCTGTCTCCTGGCCCCATAGTCCCTGCCAGCTGCTGGGTTAGCACCCAGGAGGAGCCCAGAGCTCCCCCTGACTGCTGCAGGGGGCCAGTGCAGGGCTGGCGGGGATGGGAGCAGACTGCTGCCATGAGCAGCAAATCTGCTCCCACTTCCACACACATGTAGATGCCTGCCCAGTGTGGGTTTACTCTAGAGCAAATTACTGTAAACTCACCCTAGAGCATTTGCATGTGTAGACA